ATAAAAATCTTGGAGAGAACAGGAATAACAGGAACATATCTAAACATGATAAAAGCAATATATGCCAAACCAAGAGCCAACATCAAACTAAATGTAGAGAAACTCAGAGCTATTCCTCTAAAATAAGGAACATGACTAGACTGTCCATTCTCTCCATATCTCTTCAATATTGTCTTTGGAGTTCTAGCTAGAGCAATAAGACAAGAAAAGGAGATGAAAGGGATAGAAATTGGAAAAGTAGAAGTCAAATTTTCCCTATTTGCAGATGATATGATAGTTTTCATAAATGACCCGAAAACTCTACCAGGGAACTCCTACAGCTGATAAACACCTTCAGCAAATTAGCAGGATACAAAATTAACTAAAAAAAAAAAAACGTAGCCCTACTATATACAGATAATAAATCCAATGAGAAAGAAATCAGAGAAACATCACCCTTCACAATATCCACAAGCAACATAAGATATCTTGGGGTAACAATAACCAAAAATGTGAAAGACTTGTACAGTAAAAACTTTGAGTCTTTAAAGAAAGAAATTAAAGAAGATAAGCAGAAAATGGAAAGATCTCCCATGCTCTTGGATAGGTAAAATCAAAATAGTAAAAATGGCAATCTTGCCAAAAGTACGCTGCAGATTCAATACAATCACCATCAAAATCCCAACACAGTTCTTCACAGACCTTGAAAGAACAATACTCAACTTTATATGGAAAAACAAAAACCCAGAATAGCAAAAGCAACCCTGTACAATAAAGAACCTCTGGAGGCATCACCATCCCTGACTTCAAGCTCTACTATAGAGCCATAGTTCTGAAAACAGCTTAGTATTGGCACAAAAATAGACAGATAGACCAAGGGAATCGAATTGAAAACCCTGATATTAACCCACACACCTACAAACACCTTATTTTTGACAAAGATGCTAAATTATACAATGGAAGAAAGATAACATCTTCAACAAATTGTGCTGGCACAATTGGATTCAGAAATGCAGAAGATTGCAGATACATGCATATCTGTCACCATACACAAAACTTAAGTGAAAATGGATCAAAGATCTCAACATAAATCCAGCCACACTGAATCTTCTAGAAAGTGGGAGACACCTTTGAATGAATTGGCACTGGAGACTAGACTGAACATTACGCCAGTAGCACAGACATTGAGATATGCAATTAATAAATGGGACCTCCTGAAACTGAGAAGTTTCTGTAAGGCAAAGGACACAGTCAGTAAGACAAAACGACAGCCCACAGAATGGGAAAAGATCTTCACCATCCAATCATCTGACAGGGCTGATTTCCAAAATATACAATGAACTCAAGAAGCTAGCCACCAAAACACCAAACAATGAAATTAAAAAGTGGGGTGCAGAACTAAATAGAGAATTCTCAACAGAGGAATCTGAAATGGCTGAAAGACACTTAAGAAAGATCTCAAAATCCTTGTCCATCAGAGAAATGCAACTCAAAACAACTGTGAGACACCATCTTATACCAGCCAGAATGGTTAAAATAAAAAACACCAATGGCAATCTATGCTGGAGAGGATGTGGCGAAAATCAACACTTCTTCATTGCTGGTGGGAGTGCAAACTTGTTAGACCACTTTGGAAATCAGTATGGCGGTTGCTCAGAAAAATGGAATCAGTCTACCTCAAGATCCAACAATTCCTCTCTTGGGCATATACCCAAATAATGCAGATCCATATAACAAGGACATATGTTCAACCATGTTCATAGCAGCATTGTTTGTAATAGCCAGAACCTGGAAGCAACCTAGATGCCCCTTAATGGATAGAGAAAATGTGGTACATTTATACAATGGAGTATTACTCAGCAGAAAAAAAGCAATGTAATCATTAAACTCTCAGGTAAATGGATGGAACTAGAAGAAACCATCCTGAGTGAGGTAGCCCAGTCACAAAAAGACAAACATGGTATGTACTCACTCATATGAATTTTAGACTTAGAGCAAAGGATTCCCACCCTCCAACCCTCTACACCAAAGAAACAAGGAAAAAAGAAGGAGTCTAAGGGAAAAATGCATGGACCCCAGGAATGGGAAGAGGCAAGAACTCCTGAACTAATTGGGAGCATGAGGGTAGGGGAGAGGAAGCTGCCAGAATAAGTGAAGAAGAGGAAAGGAGCCAGGGAAATGGAGGAGCAGAAATATTGAGTTGGAGGAATAATAGAGCAGAGCAGGATGAGAGATACCATAGTAGAGGGAGCCATTATCGGTCTGAGGAGAGATCTGGCACTAGGGAGCTTTCCAGAGATCTACAAGGATGACACGAACTGACAATCTAAGCAATGGTGGAGAGGGTAACCTAAATGCCCTTCCCCTATAATGAGACTGATGACTACTTTTTATACCATTGTAGAGGCCTTATGCAGTGGCTAATGGAAGCAGAGGTAGACACCCACAGATATACACTGAACTGAACTCTGGAACTTAGTTGAAGAGAGGGAGGAATGAAGGTCAAAGGCGTTGGTACCAGGCTGGTGAAACCCACAGAAACAGCTGGCCTGAACAAGGGGGAGCACATGGACCCCAGACTGCTCTCTCGGAGGCCAGTATGGGACTGATCCAGACCCCTGAACATGGATATCAATGAGGAGGCCTTTGTATTCTAGGGGGCCCTTGTTACTGGATTAGTATTTTTCCCGGGTGTAAGAAGGGACTTTGAGAGCCCATCCCATGTGAAGGGATGCACTCTCAGCCTGGACACATGGGGAGGGCCTAGGCCTGCCCAGGATAATGTGGTAGCCTTTGGGGAGCCAATGTAGAGGGCCCTACCCTGCATGGGGAGTGGAGGGTGGATGGGGTAGAGAAGTAAGTGGGAGGAAGGGGGAGGAGAGGGAGAGGGAACTGAGATTAGAAAACAATCTTGTTTTCTAATTCAAATAAAAAAATGGGAAAATTATTAACACATACAAAACAAGGCTTCAGTTAGGGGTTAGTAAGTGAAATAGGTACATCTGCTTAGTTGAAATAGAAATCCCTGAGAAAACAATTTTGATGAAAGAGAAGTCTGGTTTGGTACATAGATTCTGAATTTTCATCATCATGAAATGTGGAAGAAGTCATATCAAAACAGAGATCACATTGAGAGAGAAAAGAACATACAGGTAGGAATTAGAGGAAGATATAGCCCCAAATAACTAGTTCCTTAAGCAAGGTCCCACCTAACAACTCCAGAACCTCCCCAGATAGCACCATCATCTAGGGAAAAGTGATCAACACATAACCCTGTTGGGAGACATTTCACTTTTACACTGTAGCAGTCAGTATGCAGAATGATAATTCAATGTAGTCTTTAAACTCCCAAAAGTCAAAAATGAAGAATACTGATATAGGGGAGAAACCTGAAGTATGGGAAACAAATGGAAATAGACTAGACAACTAGGCAAAGAACACTAGTGTTTAGTGAGTCAATTCTGAAAACATTGTAAGAATACCAGAACCTTATAGAGGTTACATCAAAACAGGGCAAAACTAAAATGTGAGGCATTCATTTAAATGGCATGGAACAAATAAAATATGAGTGACTGAGAAAAGTCAAAGCAGTCCAGTAAATCTTCGTGATGGTGGTCAAATTTTAATGAGTTCTTAAAATGTAGGTAAAATATTGTGAAGCAAAGTAATTTAAGAAGTAGGATTGGAAATTAAAATAATGGCTATAGACAGGCCTGGGAATTAAATAGCAGAAAGGAATAAGAAGTGTCCATCCAAAATGGAGGATTAAGTCAAGTAATTCAGTGTTGGAAATGAAAAGTTCAAAATATTGTACCAAATTGGCACAAAAAGCATAATTTTTCAAAGCATCTTAAAATTGTTCCAAAATTCTATGTTGTTCCTACATATATCTCTGACACAAATGTATTGATTCTCTTTTTTTGACTAAAATGAGAGGAATATTTCTAAACCTAGGGAGAATTCAACCTCAGGATTTAAAATCTGATAATCTGATATGATCTTATTATTAACTTAAAAACTATACTAAATAACACAGGTAGAATATGACATCATTAAGATTATATATTTAAAAGTAAAAATATTCCTACTGTTCTTATTATCATTGCTTCATTCAAGAAAAAAATGTTTTACTCTTTAAAAGCCTCTCACATGTATGCAATCATACCCTTCTCATTCCTCCCTCACTCCAACTCCTCCACTTGAGTCCACCCCCAGCAAATCCCCTTCCAAGTTTATGAGGCTTTTTTAAAAATTTTATAACCCAATGAGTCCAATTGTCATTGCATATATGTGCATGGCTGTGAGGCCATCCACTACATAGGCAACCTGCCAGGAACAACTCCAAAAGGAAAGTGACTTCCCTCCTTCAGCAACCGTTAAATGCTAATAGCTCTTCAGTTAGAGGGAGGATCTTATGCAGCTTTATTATGCTGACTTGATCTTGAACACATTTTGTTCAAGTGACCACTTCTGCTGGCAGCTCATGTGTGCAGCAGCCATGTCTTGTCTGGAGAAGAGCATTTCACAGCACTCTTCTCTGTCCTCTAGCTCTTACCCCTATTCTGTGATGGTCCCTGAGCCTTGGTGGGGGTAGTGGTATAGATGGTATAGTGGTAGAGATGTTCCCTCTACAACTAAGCACAAAGATGCCCTTTGGACAGTGGCATCTCTATATTAACCCCTACCAACTCCAATGAGATGCTTCTCTGAGCAAGGTTTGAGAGTAACACAAATCTGGTTATGTAAATATAAACATGAACTTTAGATTATCTGTAACAACAGGCTCTTCCCCTAAGGCCTATGACTTCTCTAGCTATGGTTTTTAACCATGCTTTCAGTATCAGATGTCAATTCCTTCCTTTGGAGCCTACCTCAAGTCCAATCAAGAGAGCAGTTGGTTACCTCTAAAAACAGTCTGACTGATATTACAAGTGGGCACACATCTTGCCTCACAGGTCAATAAAGCAGCATGCGGGATCCAGCACTGGGTAAGACCATTGATGCTTTTTTTCCCCTTTCAGCTTGTACAGTGTCTTCCATCACCAAGGAAGCTCACCAGCAGGGAGAGAATTTGTCGGCCAGTTTGTTTTACGGTATTTCATCCTCACAAGTCAGGATATTTATGGGATTCCCTTTCTCATCTGTAAAACAGGGATGATGATAGGTTCTTACTTGCAGTGCTGCAGTGGGAATTAAAAACCACCCCCTCCCCTGCACAAAAGGCAGCTCTGCATGGTACAAGAAGGCTACAAATGCACATGAGTTTTGTTCACATAGACCAGGGAGTTAACATCGAACAGAATGACACTTATTGATTCCTATTTTCACTTGAAAATTTTAATGAGTAGTTACATAGCAGGAGCCACATTAAAGGTTTAGGATTGAAAACATAAATAGATGAAACTTCAAGAACTTCAGTGCGTTTGAGTGAAATGAGACCAAAACAGTTCATTACAGTGTGTGCTACAAGGCAATTCAAGACATATCTTTAAAGTTCTCTTGTCATAAGAAGAGCTCTTCCATTTTTAACTCACAGAAAAGAAGGGTATGTTCCTTTGAGAGATATTAATATTTATGTGATTATGTCTAAAGTACTAGGTTCAGCTTCAGAGACATCCGGATTTAAAGCCATAAGATGGGAGGGTCTCTGGGGACAGAGATGAGTTTCTCAAGAAGAGAGGAGATGGTGGCACCTGAGACTGTGTCCTGACCTCTCAACCAGAGGCAAGCATGCTGTAATTAAGGTTTGTCATATTTATGCAAAGCTTCTCTAACACACAGAAAGATGTGCTTAAAGTTCTACAACCATGGGTCTATAACCACCAATATTTTAATGTGAAATTTAGCTCCTCAGCCTTGTGCGTGTGAAGCCTTGCTTCCTGGATGATGGTGTTATTCTGCAAGGCTGGGAAACATTTAGGAGGACAGACTCTACTGGAGGAAGTGGGTCAGAAAATGTGTGAAGCCTTGAATCTTTTAGACCATCTTTGCCTCTTATATGTTATCTGCTTCTTGAAACACCCAGATGTAAGCAAGTAGACACAGGTTCCTGCTACTACAGTCCCAAGCCATCCCTTCCCTGCCATGGTAGACTGATATGTATTTTGCCTTAAACCGTATGTAATACCTTCCTCCTTTATGGTGTTCCATTGTCACAGCATTAAGAGAGGTGATGAGTACCCGGGCATTGCTGGCGCAAGCTTTTAACCCAGCACTCTGGAGACAGAGATAGACAGATCTCTGTGAGTTCAAGCCCAGCCTTGTCTACAAAGTGAGTTCCAGTATAGCCAGGAATACACACAGCAACCCTATCTCAAAAAAAAAACTAGAGAGAGAGAGAGAGAGAGAGAGAGAGAGAGAGATGATGATGATGATGATGATGATGATGATGATGATGATGAGTGCAAGTCCTTGAGTCTGGCTCATAAACAGCCTACTTGAAAGGCCTCTATTCTTCACCAGCTTAAAAAAATAGTGTTTCTAGTGAGGTAATCCAATCTTCCCAAAACAAAAATGGTATGTACTCATTCATATATGGATTTTAGATCTAGAGCAAAGAAGTAGCAACCTATAATCCACACCACGAGAGAAGCTAGGAAACAAGGAGGACCCTAAGAGAGACATACATGGTCCCCCAGAGAAGGGGGAAGGGACAAGATCTCCTAAGCTAATTGGGAGCATGGGGGAGGGGAGAGGGAGTTAGAAGAAATAGAAGGGACGAAAGGGGGAGGAGAGGAGGACATGAGGGAACAGGAAGATCTAGTCAGGGGAAAAATAGAGGGGAGCAAGAAAAGAGATACCATCATAGAAGGGACCATTATAGGTTTAAAGAGAATTCTGGCACTAGGGAAATGTCCAGAGATCTACAAGGTTGATCCCAACTAACAATCTAAGCAATAGTTGAGAGGATACCTTAAAAGCCCTTCTCTGATAATGAGACTGATGACTACCTTATATGTCATCCTAGAGCCTTTATCCAGTAGCTGATGAAAGCAGATGCAGACACCCACAGCTAAACGCTGAGCTGAACTCTGGAATCCAGCTGCAGAGAGGGAGGATTAATGAGCAAAGGCGTCAAGAGCAGGCTGGAGAAACCCACATGAACAACCTACCTGAACAAGGGGTTGCGCATGGACCCCAGACTGATAGCTGGGAAACCAGCATAGGACTGTTCCAGACCCCCTGAAGGAGGAGGTCAGTTTGGAAGTCTGGACAATCTATGGAGCCACTGGTGGTGGATCAGTGTTACTATAAATCTTTCTGCCAAAAGCCACCTGAGCCCCACTGCCACGTGTGAGTTTACAACAGCCGCCTGCCCGAGTTAGGCCCAAATGAACACACAGAGAGACTTGTATTAGTTACAATGCTGCTTGGCCAATGACTAGGATTCTCATCTGTTAGCTCAGTTTAAATTATCATACATCTATATATTTGATAAGACTTATCTTATTGGATGCCTTATTGGCATCCCTCCTAGCTGGTGGATCACATCGTGCCGCTCAAGCAGGAGTGGAGGGGAAAAGAGAGGATCCGTCCTGTTTCTCCTTCACTTAAATATGAGTCTCCTTGCTATGTCACTTCCTGTCTGGATCAGCACTTCTCTACTACATTTCCCAGAATCCTCTTTGACTCCTAGTCCCATCTACTTGCTGTCTCATTGGCCAAGCAGTATTTTATTTAACAATCAATAAGATAAACATACATAGTACATTGATCAGAAAGGGGTTGGCATAGGGGGGTCAGTGGGGGCAGGGGAGGAGGGGAGGGAGAAGAAACTGAGATTGACATGTAAAAGAAGCTTGTTTCTAATTTAAAGAAAAAAATAGTGTTTCCAGACCTGTACATTGTCTGTATATCCTGAAATTGGAGCTTGTCCTCTCTTTGGGTTGATTCTGGGGTCAAGCTGAGCCGGGTGTGCTGCTCTCAATAAGAAAGTGAAATCAGCCAGGGCATAAGGGGCCACAGAGGATGCACTTTGGACCAGTAGACAAGCCAGCAAGAAAATCAGCTCATTAAAGTTTGCAAGCACAAAGATATGAGAAATCAAGGGTCAAGGCAGAAAGGTGTGGCATAGAGATCCTCTTAGAGGGTTCAGGATTGATTCTTTAAAGAATTACATTATGCTTACTGGGGCTTAGGAGCAATTGTGCCTCATGTCTGTGCTGGGATTCTGAGGGTATTATATATAGCTGAAAAGAATGCATATTCTGAAGGCAGTCATGGGCTATCTCCAATGACTAGCACTATGTCTATCTGAGCATTGTGGATCTGAGCAAAGGCCACCTTCAACACAGCTCCTGTGGAAATATAACAGGCTTTGTGATTCTTAGATGTCAAGATGTCCCACACTAAACACAAACTTCCTAATATCTATAACACCAAAACAGACATAATAAACATTAATATCCATATAGTCCACGGAAATGAGGTGCTACTGTGAATTATGGGCCCTAAGGGTATCTCTCAGCATTCACCCAGCCGCTCAAAGACCAAAAGAAAAATCTTTAAATAAAACTCCAGCCAGTTCATGACAAATAGCTCACCTAGCACAGTGTCTGTGAAGCCCAGACCTCTACAGGAGACACAAAAGTAAAGGACTTAGCTGTTCTTCCTTGTTCCTTTTAAATTATGCTACTTTATTTTTAGACTTAAAAAAACAGAACCAATATAAATATCAAAATTTAAATAGCTTCATACTCAAAAAAATTACTAGAACTATGAAAAGATAAATATATAACATCTTCAACAGAAATGAGATGGTGATTTAATTACTAAGGGTCTCTTCTCTCCTGTAACCCATTTCTTGAACCCTGAAGCACATTAAAAGTCAATATACCACCCAATGTTGTTTAGAAGGGTTTTGTTTAGTGGTATTGTTCACCTTCAGTTTGTTATTAGTAATGAACTCTATGCTAGGCACTGCACTTTCTTCGTGGAATATGATATCTTGAGTCACTGAAGCAACATCAGGAACTGAAAAACTTGTAGAAGCCACATGTTTGGGTGTAACAGTGCCATTTTGGTACTATGGATGTTGAAAACAATGGCAGCTGAGCAGGTGGGCCACAAGACACAGAAACTGGAAGAAACTGAAATGACTTCACGGTAAAAGCTTTGCTTGGAGAGTGGAGAACTTGCCAGGAATGATAATGGAGTCACTTGGTGTTCACTACGGTGTCCTACAGTCATGTTCCAGCCAGACACTATTGATGTGTACTCTAGGCTATTTACATCTGGGGACAATTCAGTGACCTAAATGTTATTAGGTTCAAGTCCTTGTCACTCTGGGAGTCTCACTTCTCTAACCTTAAACACTTAAGATTCCTGTCACAGACCTCTGCAAAGGTTAGGTTTGATTTCTAATATTATAGAAACAACGTTTACTTGGAGGAAGACAGGCTCATTTTAAGAATTCTGCACCACTTTACTGTGCATTGGAAGTTTTTTGAAAAGCCTAAGGTTGGTTTTGGTATTACAAATGTAAGAGATGCTTTCATTTATGCATTTCTTTTGACTATACAATAAAAATGCAACTGTGTAGAAAGCCAAATGTGAGTCTGAATAACTGGAAGTTCTATGAGTCTTAATGATTCACTGTGTGAGTAATTTCCCTTGCTAAACTGGTGGGATATTTGGCTAGACCAGCCCAATAATGTAGAATGAAATGAAAGAAAGAATAGAATTCAAAGCCTGCCCTCCGTAAGTTTAAAGGTTAATGAGGATCACATAGCCCTAAAATTTTGATGTTTTTATTAATTTCAGTAGATTACTGCTGTAATATAATATGCTACTCACAACTGGTAGTACTATGTGTGAGTAGGGATTTTTTCTTTACTGTTTGAATGAATGTTCATGTGTGAAGGTTTGAGTGAATTCAAAGAGGAAAATGTAGGAAATGTTCATCAAAGACATCCAAGAGTGTGTGCATGGACTGAGACAAGTATATAGGGGACTGGTGGCATGGACAGCAGCATGCCATCTCTAATACTGAAGAGAATAGTATACACTCGCTTTTGATGCTGTGGATAATTAGGCTTCAAACCTAAAAAGCCAAATATACATTTTATAAGTACAGATATCTTCCTAAGATAAAGATTAGGGTGTCCAAACATTTCTTAAAAATGAAAATAGCCTTGATTCTTCACAATTATTACTTAGACATTTCATTTGACTTAGCCTTTTCAAGAGGAAGTCAGGTTCTACAGCCTATAAATTATTTCTAGTTGGACTATGTTTAGATAGAAGAAAATTTTCTAGTGAGTCCATCTTTGAAATCTCCTTAGACACAAACATCAATACTCTCCCATCCAATAAATTCATGCATCTTGAAAGTATTTATCCTTCTTCTCTTTTGAATATGAAATACTTGTAAATGGCCCTTCCCTGTACACTGGCCAAAGTATCGCTAAGGACTTCTGTGTTTCTATATGATACCTTCTGTGGTGGTTCAAATAAGAAATGCCTCTAATAGGCTCAGACATGTGAATAATTGATCCCAAATGGTAGTGTTATTTGGAGAGGTTAAGTTTTGGAGGCACAGCCTTTCTGGAGGAAGTACATGACTAGAGGTAGGATTTGAGAGTTCATAATCTCACCTACTTCCATTCTCTATTTCATTCTTGCTGTTAAGAGGTAAGCTCTTAGCTTCCTGCTATGCCATCCATGCCTGCTGCTTGCTACCATCTTTCTCTGTCTTGAGAAGCACCTTTTCTTCCTGAAACTCATTATTTGTCAAATTATCTAATATTCCTTTGTCTTTAGGTTTAAACAACCAGAGGCCATTGTTTTTCTGGCACTTGCAGTTAACATGTTGCTATTAGGTCTCAAACCCAGGACAAATCTCACTCAGTACCTGTGGCTCCTCCTAGGATTCCTCACCCTGCCCCTTAGCTTAAAACCTTTCCTTTCCAAGGAGCTGGTCTTCTACTTCCCTTCCTTTCCCACAACCAGATCCCTATATAACTATATAACTCATCCACTTTGGCTATGCTGCTCTCCTGGTCTTTTGGCCTGGGCTGCTTTCTCAGTCAGAATCTCCTCTCCTGCTCTCCCTTCCCATGTAATACTTTTTTGTTGCAAGTAATTTCCTCTCAGAAATATCTCCAAGAACAGAAAAAAAAAATAGGAAGGCACATACAGTCACAGGTGCATAACTAACTAGTCTTGCTGAAGGGGTAAATGATGCCAGAAGCCAAGTAAGCTAGCTCAGGTGGGGAGCAGCTCGCTGTATAATCGGGGGATCCTGCCCCAGTCTCTGAGCACTGG